GGTTTGCAGAGGCAGATGTGGAAAATGCACCACCTGTTAGTTGGAACAATGCGGCTCTTCTTTTTCCTCTCTCTTCTCGTCTAACCTCAACTCTTCCGAAGTCCCAGTTTACTGTGGAGGGCAAATTCATCGTCACAACAGCTGCTGTGGCTGCTGAAGAACTCAGTGAGAATGACTCCCATAAGGTTGAGGATTGGCTCAAGCTGGTTCGTTCTACTGGTACCATGCGAATCAATTGCTGTCATTAAGCATCGCCTCCCCTTACCATTCCAACTTGCAGATGCGTTTCGATCAGCATTTCTGTTGTCTTTTTTCCATCTGTGCGTAACAACAAAGACGTATTTTGATTCAATGGTACTTTGACTTTTGTTTACTAGGATGGAGAGTTCTCGCCATGAGGTTGGTTTAGGATGGAAACGAAAAATTATTTTGGGAAATTTATTGTTTACAGTACCTAATCGCGATCTAGGGCTTCAAATAAGCTGGTTACATTAATTTAACACTCATCCACGCAAACATTCTCGTTGGTCAGGGGATTTTCTGGTATATTTATTACATTGTGGTTTAAGGTAAAAAAAAAATGATATAACTGACTCCATTGAGAATTGACGTAGAGGTAAAAGATTTGTGTAGGCTCAACAACCAGTTGGTAAGGCCTACATCACGGTGAGTCAAGATTTTTGTCATACATACAAATTTGTTATATGTGAATGCGGAAAACATTGTAAATCGGCGATAAGTTTTGTTTTTTAGGCATATTACACTTGATCTTTGTAAATTAACCAAAAAGAAAGTAAACGGGGAGTAACGGTTCTGTCATTGTTTGTGAAGAAATTGCTAACGTATGCAGCTTGCCGACGGTCACATTGCCTGTCATTTCGTGACAAATTTGGCCGTGGATTGGGTTTTCTAGGGGGGGTAAGGAGGCGAAAAGAGGCGAAGGGAGTGAGGAACTCATGCGTAGCTGATTGGATCTAAGGGTTGAATTCACGGCGCGTCGCCAATGCGCTATGGATGCAAGGGTAGAACTAGCCTCGTCCGTATCACTGTCACTTTCCCACAGCTAATATGGAACAGTCGTGTCTAGGTTGGAAAGGACGTGGTGTCTTTGCTGGAACTTTTAGAAAACATTACAGTGATGTTTTCTGGAATGTATAAACGAGTGTTTAAACTACTTTGCTCTGTTGTTTTGAAGCATGAATGCTATGGCGGAAGAAGGCATTACGCATTGTTGACTGAAGCAGTGTTTATTGACACTGTCAGAGCTGACGATTTTGTGGATCATTGTTCGAGTCTTTTCCAGTCGACAAATATAACACCATGTCCACTGGAACAAGGTTCAGAATGTGTTGACTTCGACCAAAAGAACAGTCATAACGTTGACTTAGGGCCTGCAAAGATTTTGAAGAGATTCTTAATAAAGGCTAAGTGACAACAGTAGTCACCTGGCGAGTAAATCAAGGGCTGCTTAAGGAGTGCACAAGTTTGATCGAACCTTCCTTCAGATGTGTTGATAAATAAGCTAAGTAATGTAGCAATGCCTGGACAAATGCAATTCCATGGAAGGCATTGTTCATACACAATCGGTTGGCAAATGCATTCCATTCTGTGATTTTGATGTGTCAGCTAAAGTAACGGCTTGTCATGTCGCTAATTCAGCGCCTTAGCAATTGATGGAAAGTCTACAAGAATTTTATAAATTTGTGTAGTTGCTTAGAGAAGCTCGCCAACCCGATGGCTACGTGACCTTAAAACAGGGAATCCATTTTGAAACAATAATCACAGATCTTTTCAATCACCCAAAAATCTCCAATTTTTATTATTATCTTATCCAAGACTGACCATCTGATGACAAAATTTGAACTTGTCTAAGAATCAAAACCCACCAAGTTAGTAGGCAACAATTTTAGCATCATTTGGAACCTTTTTTTTCCGTTCTCTTAGCCAAGGCATCGCTCTTGCGAGTGTTTTACACCATCTAAAAACGGACAAAAAATTGCCTTTTTAGAAAGGCCGTTTGGAAATAATGGAAACTAGCATGGAAAAAAGAACAATCACCAACTCCACAATAGACATATATAAGGCGTTCACACTTCGAAATTGACTTTTTTTTGTCTTCTTCCATTTTATTCCCGTGGACGAAAGATGGAGTTAAAATTAGCATTTTCTATAAGATTTATTTCAAGCGATGAATCGTAAATGGGTGGCAGATCTTGCATTGGACTCAACTGTAGCCAAAGTGTCAATCAAAACAACAAAAAAAAACGCCAAATATTGCCTGATTTTCCAGAAAACAAAAATTCGTATCCACCACAGAGAAGCTAGGTTCAATGCAAACGCATCCAATGGCATTAGGAGGAATGGACTTTGAGTTGCATGACAGGAAGACATCAACTGGACTTGACTACCAAGTCAGCAAATGTGTTGCTTATCATAAATAGGTGTGCAATACTGGCAAAATGTCCAAAAAGTAAAATTTGAGTGATTTCGAAGTACATCCTTTAAAGCACACATTAAAATGGGTGTATCAATGAATCTGAATGATGGCTTAAGTGATAACTGTCAAACCATCCATTTACGATGAACCAATTCATCTTCCATTTCTCAGGAGGCAATTGATCGCACAGTGCTCCAAATCAAGATTATTTGTTTTTGTTTTTATTGTTTTAAACACCTTTTGCAAGGCGATCTGAGGATCATCTCAATGACTTCGTTCAAAATGACTAAAACATTGTGTTTCCTCTACTTCTCCTTACATTAATTCCCGAAAAGAAACTCTGTATAATGGACTTACGCTACCCCCCCCCCCCCACTTACTTATGTGTACCACACATCCTCTTCGTCCGCACCTTCATCTCACACTGCTGACGCCCACTCACACTCCCCACCCCTCATCCACCAATACTACCATCATCACGTCTCCCTCCACCTCTACTACCTCACACCCTCGCCACGTACCCACACAGAACTCCACGCACTGCGTGCCAATTTACGAGACCCAATCCGTCGATCACGAAGCGCACCGACTCTGTCACCGCTTTGCAATGCCATCCCACCTCACTGCACTTCCCACTTTAACAAGCGCAGCAGTCTGACTAGGTGAGCGTGTGATCACCTTCAATGAGTGGTAGATGAGTGGCAAAAGGAGAGATGCCACAGACTGACGTGTCACGAGGATCCTCAAGGTGACGCATGTGCGCCAAACCTGATTGGTGAAGCCAACATGCAGAAGAAGCCAACTGGTGGATATTGAAGGAAGGAGGGGGCATGTGGAGGTGTCTCCATACTACACCCCATCCATAGGCACCGCAGTTCAGTGCGTGTAGTGTGTGTGTGTGTGTGTGTGTAGATTTGTGCACGTAAGTCCTTGCAGTTGCGAATCCACTGTTGAAGGGCAATGGATCTGTGAGCGGTGAGATGGTCAGTGCAGCAGTGGTGAGGGTCATTGAGATGGCAACGTACAATCAGTCCTCTCCATTGTCCTGCATCAAGGACTTACATGGCTGACGCGAGGACTGAGAAAGCGCACCATATTGCGCCTGCGAGACAGTTGTGAGGATTGTAGCTGAAAGCATAAGATCCGCTTTCAGGGATCAAGAGAGAATGAATGGACGAGTGGAGAGTTGAAGTTAAAAGCACTCAACGTGGAAGGAGAAACAGAGACACGTGTTACTGCTCAACAAAATAAGTAGCATTGGACATAACTTTGGGTTCAGGTTTGGAGATATTTTTTTTCGCACCGGTTTTTCTTGACATTTGTGTCATACTTTTGCGGAACACATTTGAACATGTGATATGTAACTTAATCAGGCTGCCGAGTAACGGACTTCTGGCTCAATGAACGTTATCGTCTATGTTCTTCACCTCAGTTTGTGCTCATCTTTAACCTTTAGTTTTGAAAGTCTGTATTTGCTTACCATCGATTTGCATACCATTATTTTATGCTTCTGCGCAGCATTTACACCTTTTCAATTATTGACGGAAGTTCTTTTAATTGCATTCGTTTTTAACTAGTGTTCAGACGATTTATCGTCCCTTGGCAGTACAGACATTGACGAAATAAACGTCAACGGAAAGACAATACGTGGGCGTCATCAAATAGTGAGCTGAAACTCCGTCAAAGTGTAGCTTTTGTGGATGACAAGGTTAAGTTTACTCTGATGTCACCAAATTAGGTAGGTCGACTAAAGTTTAACAAAGCAATTTTATAAACGATGGTCGTAGGAGGAATGTACACACTTCAACATCGTCTAAACGTATTATACAGCGTTGTAATAACTGTCCAATATGAGCTAAAGAGAGTGTTAATGAAATGGTATAAAGTTGCTTCTGATTTTGTAAGTACATTGGAACACACAATACTACTGCTGATAAAGTCAGTAAATGGCAGGTTGGGACGTGGGCGTTACCACGTAGTGAGTCAGAGCTCTGCAGCCTTTTAGTCTTATAAGACGGT